TTACCCCCACCCCGCCCCTTTCCCCCGATTTTTTTTTCTTCCCTCTGCTCTCACAGAGCAATCGACGAGCCACCCCCTCCCTCCACCCTCCCACCTCACAGAGTCATCGACGAGCCTCGCCTCGGCTCCCCTCCCCTTTTTTCCTACCCGTCCTCTCCCATCACAAAGTCATTGGCTACCCTCCCCACCCACCCCTCACAAAGCAGTTGACAGACCTCCCTCCCCCACCCCCACCCCCTGGCCCCACAAGAGGGAAAGAAAAATAAGTAAGACCTACCAGTGACTTCCTCCAGCCACCCACAAATTGATTTGTCCTACGTATACGTAATAATAATAATAATAATAATAATAATAATAATAATAATAATAATAATAATAAAAATAATAATGATAACATTAATAATAATTATAATAAGGATTATAATATAATAATAATAATAACAATAATATTAATAATAATACATTTAAAAGAAAATAATAGTAACTATTATTATTATAATATGACATTTACATAATGCCCAAACTCGATTAAAGGACACAAATGCGTTAGGAAATACATTACAAAGATATTACAAATTGTTTTCTGGCTAAAATTTCGATATTGTTATATCTGTATCCTAAGAACGGATGACTGGAGCTGGATTTTAAATAAATAAAAAGATTTGATCTCTGTTGACTACCAGACAATGAGTTCCAAACATTCTGATTCAATACATATAGAGACAGAGAGTGGTTTGTGCTAAACGCTCCACGTCGTTCATAATGGCACTTCAACACAAAGGTCAAGTCAGAGCCGAAGATGAGATGTGTCACTAGAGAGTTGCTTGCAAAGGGAGATACGTATGACAGAGATGTTGAGTAGGACAAAAGAACCAAAAAAAAACCCACCAACCCCCCCCCCCCCCCAGAGCGCTCGCCAAACGCCCGCTCACATGGCATAGCCATCCTTTGGGGGGTGGGGCGGGGGTTCATGGATCGCACGCACGTGAGCTGACAACAGTCGGCACGGGCACTGTCTGCCCACTAGAGCTATGATGTCCATTCGACTTTACTATTCGACAACAAGATTGTTCAGTGGTTCAGATCGATCTATTCGATTCGTGGCAGGATTATTCGAATGTCGTATCCTTATCTTACGGTCAATGGAATTTCGTCTTTTCTTAACCCGACGCCAAATTGAACTATTTTAATGACATCTAATGTCACTGACCTAATAACGTACATGTTTTGTACTTAATTCTTGCAATCAAACTGAGTGATTAGTAAATAGCACTGTGAAAAGTGAAACTAGAATTGCGAATTTTGCTGGTTGACTTATATTAGAAGAATCATCATCATCCGGTGTCTTGCCGACTGGCGTCGTCGATTATGGACCTCCGCTTCACTCTGTCTGCGTTGCAGCGACGGTGTCTGTCGCTCTTGCTGCTCCCAGCCATGTTGTCAACCTGTCCAGTATCTTTTTCCTATGTCTGCCTCTGCCTCTCGCTCCATCAAACTTGCCTGTTGTTACAATATTCTCCGGCAAGTTTGATGATATAACATGTAAAAACCAAACCAAAACCCCCCCACAAACCAAACAACCAAACAAAACCCCCATCCTCACAAGTATTTAAAGTACTCAGATAAAATAAATATTGACTTCATGCTTCGAAGAGTCGATGAAGTTCGTTTTCCTCAAAAACTCACATAATTACTGTTCACTGCTCAAATGTTGACTAAACGCGCAGATAAGGAAGACTCAAGAGTAAGAGTTTGAGAGGGAAAAAGGGATAGCGTTATATATGGTTAAGTCATCTATCTATCTATCTATCTATCTATCTATCTATCTATCTATCTATCTATCTATCTATCTATCTGTCTGTCTATCTATCTATCTATCTATCTATCTATCTATCTATCTATCTATCTATCTATCTATCTATTTATCTATATATCTATCTATCTATCTGTCTATCTATCTATCTATCTATCTATCTATCTATCTATCTATCTATCTATCTATCT